GTATCGTACACAAGCACAGTCAGTCATTGAGAACAACCTGAGCCACACCCAATTTGCATATAGACAGGCGGGTAGTTGCACAAATGCCTTGCTCGCTATCCAGCACCAGACATACAAGTATTTAGATAGTAGTGACTGTAGCGCAGTGCGAATTTTTACCATGGACTTCAGTAAGGCTTTCGATTTTGTGAACCATGCTATTTTGTCTGCCAAACTGAAACAGCTACCTCTAAATCCGTACATTATCAATTGGTATCATAGTTTCCTCTATGCAAGACAACAACGTGTTGTTAGTTATAATTTTTTAGGACAGTGGAAATCTGTCAATAGAGGAACCACACAAGGTAGTGTAAGCGGACCGTATCTTTTTAATATATTTTTGAACGATTTGGAGATTTTTTTTAATGGTTGCCCTGTGCTTTTTAAATATGCCGATGATTCCACTATTCTTTCGCCTATCACTAGGAATAGTGACCCGTCTGCCGACTTAGTAGGACAGTTCTTAACATGGTGTAAAGACAATAGAATGGTCTGCAACCCTTGCAAATGTAAAGAGCTGGTTGTTAGAAAGAAAAATCATAATGTACTCTACTCTCCAATTAATAATATTCCCCAATGTAATAGCTTCGTTTTACTAGGAGTAACTTTACAGAGTGACGGAAAATTTGATGAGCATGTAAGAACTAAGCTTGTCAAAGCAAACAAGTGTTTACACGTCCTACGAACATTGAGAAAGGAACATTACTCTCAGGCAGAGATTGATCATCTTTTTATATCCATTGTTTTGGCTAATTTTAGCTATGCACTTTCAGTCTATGGGGCATCTGAGTCCGATCTTACGGTTGTACAAAATTTTTTAGACCGATGTCATAAACGCCGTTTTATCTCATTTCCAGTTATTATCAAGAGCCTTTTAAACAAACAAGACCGAAACATTTTGAAGAAACTAAAATCAACGGATTGCCACCCCCTGAAAGATATCATTCCTGTCCAAAAGACATGTGTACATAATCTTAGGAAAAAAGGCTACACACGCCCGAAAATTAATACACAGCGCTTTATTAACACCTTTGTAAATAGGTTGATATTTAAGCTCCATTTATTGTAATGCCATACTTTTAAATTCATAATATGTATGTAGATTTCTGTTGTAGTTTTTCCGAATTCATTGTAACATAAGATATGTAGTTTTATCTTATGATGGAATAAAGACTTTATTACAAAAGACTCAAGTGGCCAATTCCTGGAGGACTTCAGGGTTTATATGTTTACGGGGCTAGCGTGTTTGTTCCAGTTGAATAACAAAGCAATGAAAAGTAAAACGAATCGGATATCAAATATCAATGTACTGGCTTCACTCTCAATGTCAAACTTTTCAACCTCGAAATTAAGGTTTTTTCCCCACCTACCCCACCGAAAACGACTGAACAAAGTTTAGACATTGAATTACTTGCAGCCTTAAAGGTCGTAAAGCGTGCCCCTCTGCTTCTCGTTTCATCCGCCTTCAATTTCTTGGTTTCGTTTATTTCTTTAGTCGTGCCCATTTTTCTTTTTTCCCCTGTTCCCGATTTTGTTGCAAAGTCCAACAAAGCGTTTTGATAAACGCTCTGAAGACCAGATGTTCTAATTCAGTTTTCCTTCGTTACGTGCATTAGGTATCATACTTATAATGAACTCGGTGGCCGTAGCGATCCTGTGAGTTTACTCAATGATTAATCATATGTCCATGGTTACCTTGCCCTGAATCATAAGATCCTCTTGCGGCTAAAAAGAAAACAAAAACAAGATCATCTCCTTTGAATGATATTTCTACAGAACTCTGAGTGAGCCGGTAAGATCACCGGATATCTACCTTTTTGAGTGTAAATTTATTTGTGAAAGAATGATGGATATTGAACTTAATTTTAGAGGGGGAATTAATTGTCTTGTTTAGGGTTGAATTTGACACTGTCCATTGAAACTAAAACGCGAGGTTGCGAAAAAGCAGTAAAAAAAAAGATCTAGATATTTCAGTCCATTGCTGCTTTACCGGAACTCGCAGCCTACGTTCAAGATGCGGTACTTTGCCATCAAATGAAAGGAACGGTTAGAAAGGTTTGAAATTTTAATGTAAAAGGAAGGTTGCTTATGAAATTACCCCGTCCCACCAGACTATATTTCTTAATTTTCCACTTTAAAATATGCAGTTTCAAAATAATGAATGAAAAGCTGCGATTGGAGGCCAACTTAATAGTGCAATCATACTCCAAGACATTAGCATTTAAAATTTTTCTTTAACCGAAAATAGTTGCAGGGAGGCCAATCTTTTGAACAAAGCCGATTTTCCAAGACATTTAAAAATTTACTTTCCAAATGAGACCTTGCAGAACCAATGGCTGCCAATTAGTTGGTCAACTTCATTATAGTAAAGAAAGGTTTGAAAAATCTCATGGTGATTACTTATTCACTACACTAATCAGTTAGAACGCCTATTCAATGAAAAAAACGAGTTTTGTAGGATTAATTCCGTTTCCGTCTGTTGTGCGTTTTTTTGATAGGATTTATTTGTAACGAGCTCTTGGTTGGGAGTTTGTTCTAATCTAGAAAGTTATTGGTTTTCTCTCGGGTCGGATAGAAGTAGTACTAGCAATACCATTGAGATCTAATTCAAATACTTTTACTCGTTGTCTCCCCCAAAAGACAATTGACGATATGATTGCGGGAGAAAAACAGTACTGAACAGTTAATGAAAGTAAGGATCGCCACTTATAGAACCAGGTGATGGAGTGCTTTTCAAAACTACTACACTAATGGTTTGCTAAAACTGAAGACGATTAAGAAAATATAACTTCGTGAGGTTTCACAAACGTTTTCGGAGTCAGCCATTCTCTTTAGGTGGCCTTTACCATCAGTTAAAGGGTGTTTGAGGAAGGGGAGTGGAGGCTGTGTGCTTTCCCACATAAGAAAAAAAAGAAAGGAGTGAAGTCCAGCTAAAGATGTTGGACATCAAATTCCATTGTATTTTAGGTAAAAGTGTCAAAAAGGACTATGAAAAAGAAAGGCATGTAGTATATAGTGGTGCTTCAGAGTTTTAGTTTCCAGTGTCTAATATCACGTAAATCTTTAAACCGCTGTTAGTCTTTTTGAAGT